AGCATTTAGAGAGGTAAACAATTTCTACAGTTGAAAATACAAAGAAGAACATTTTCCTGATTCTCTATATTTCGACATGCAGAAGATTCTACCAGGCAGTCTAGAGCCTAGCCGGCCAGCAATTTCCTTTCAGCGAACAACAAAAATATGATCCTCTCCCTGCTTTTGTTACAGCGCTGTCAATAATTCATACACCAAACTTTCATCCACCGGTTCACAATGGGAGCAGGGCTGCCACAGCGGTGATGCATTCTTGAAGCTCTTTATGAGACGTCTGCGATAGAGGCATCAGTATGGGGCCAGCAGACCGGGATCGGCTACCAGGTCCTGGAGAAGCTCCCCGTTTTTTGGTCGCTCAGCTTTCCCCTTTTTTTTCTAGTTCTTTGCTTTGCTTTTCTCTTTCTTTAGACACAATTTTAGCACCTTTATATTCTTTATTTTTTAATTAGCACTCTCCACTGCCTGACTTGTTGATCCAAACTCTTCTCGTCCTCCATCCCAACAGCAGGACAGGAGAGGAGTGAATGATCCTTTCGGGGAGTAAGATGGGCATTAAATATTGATGAAGAAGCTATTGCAGTAGTGCTTTATTTAAGCAAAACCTGCTTTCTGTTATCTGCAGCAGAAGCATGGCAGCCCAGCTGACAAACAGCACTGGGTGCTGTATATGGATATCACATCTAAACTGTATCCCATGTTAGTTTAAATAGCATTTAAGTCCATTCTGAGATGAAGGTTATTTTTTAATCATGTGTTTAAATAATTTAATAGCAATCGTAATGCCCCTCGGGGGACAACAGCTCTACGGTAAATCTTACCAACCACCCGATGAGGAAGTCATTAAAACGAAAAAAAATTCTCTCTACTGACCCGCCTCTTATATAAATCTCTATAAAGATTGTAAACATGGGTTTATGATCTCAATCTGTAGTTTCAAATAAATTATGGTTCTTTTAGAGCAGAGGTCACTAACTGGCAGACAGCGATCTGGATCCGGACCCAGAAGCCGTCCCATCCGTACCCGGAACAAAAGCTGAATTTAAACGTGACAGCACACTTTTCGGCGCAGCTTAATCGTCTTTACGGTAGTGGCTTAAAGCATAGACCAATTGCATTCAAGTTAAACCATCCCACATGCTACCACTCGACCAATCGAGTCTTTTCATTCCAGGCAGGATGATACGTCTCAATACTGACGCGAGAGGTAGCGGCAAATTACAAACAAAAAGAAAATAGGAAGAAAAAAAAGATAGTGACATTTGAGAAAAAGACAAGTGAGACGGCGAAAGCGAGAGAAAGGGACGGGTGAGAAAAATGAGGAACAAATGGCGCTCTCCAACAAGAAAAAAGTGGACAGCGAAAGTAGAGCATTTAATCCTCAATGGACGGACTCATTTCTGTTCATATTGCAGCACTAAACCACTGTCTCATGTGCTCAGAACCCGTTGAAACGTCACTATAAGGCACAATGAGCTCCTCTGTGTGAGGAGGAGAACGACCCTGATGCATTCACGGCCAGGTTTAAAATCCTGGCAGGAAAATCTAAATTCTCCCACTTTCCCAAAAAGTGTGGATATATATATTCAATTAAACTGTTCAATTGTTAAAATGTGTTTGTTGTGATTCGTTAGTCGTGTATTGATTATTGATGCAACTCTACTTTAATCACACTAAGTAGTCACATTAGGATCTTCTGGACCTTCTAGAAATGTTCCTAAAGGCTTCTAACGGCCACTGACCGCATGCGGTGAAGACCAGGGGCCGGGCATTACAGGTGTTGTGCAATAGTGAAGTGGTGACGGGCAGGAAACAGGAAATCAGCTAGGGGGTGTGGTTTGCAGAGGTATGGAGATTTCAGTCACGGTCTCAACCAATCCCTGAGCTGAAGGTTTTTTGATGACGTATTGGCCAGATTGGCGGAAGTATGTCACAATATGAACACTGGACTTATCTTACTAAATATCAGGAGTGCCTCTGGGCATTGATGGTGACTATTTTAGTTTGTGATTCACACGGTGACTGCACTGGGTTTTGTTCTAGGTTTTGCTATTGAATAACAAATAATCTATTTAGCTTTAGTTTTACCTGCCTAATGAGACAGAACGGACACGAATTCCTTACAAACACAGAAACATTTGCATATTCTCACAAAAATGAAAAGATACAAAGCATGGGAGGACATCTCTGTCTGCAGGATCTGGGACCATCTGCTTCAAAATTATATTTGGTTTCCTTGACAGAGTATGATACTTTAATTTAGGTAAAAATAGTAAAAATCTCTAACTAAAGTGGCCATTGAAACAATGAAGTCATAGTATTAAAGGGAGGCCACTTGGTTGCATACATTTTCAGGGGTCCAGTGCCTTAGCAGCTGACATCACTGTACAGTGCATAACTTTATTTAAAAAAAAAATTTTAGCTGTATTAGCTACATAGCGTTTGCCAAATATATATTTTTTTCTTTCTCTGTTCCAGACACTTGCATTGATTTATTGGACTGATTATTTAGTGCTGGAAACCTGATGCCTGCGCGAGGTAAGCGATATTTCATATTGAACATCACACCTGCTGTTGCTGTTAGTTCTACGAATCTTCCGACCTGAGAACGGAGCCGCCCCATAGGCGACCGCTATCTGGGTTTGTTCATTATATAACTGCACATGCTTCCACTTGCATCAGCTAGTTCTATATTTTATTGTGGAACACTGGGTGATTGTACTGTAAGGTCACGAAACTGCTCTGTTTGTCTTTGTTGCTAAATGTAGCCAACAAAAATGTCAATACTGACATGCTGTGGGAAGTGCTACAGAGGTTACTCTATTATGAAGTTAGAGGTCAATGAACATGAACTTTGGGCACCAAAACCCTCAAATTCAAATACCAACTTTCTTTGAATTGCCTTTTAATCACTCTGTAGTGTCAAAAAGAAGCACAATTAATGGAATATGATAGCCCTTCTATACAAGTACTACAAATGTAACAAAATATTTTCAAAACAATATAATGGGCTTATTTAGACTTCATAACCGCACGAAAAATCCTCAGTAATCTAGAAGAGTCCTTCACACCGGCACAATTGCATTCTGGAAAGGGATGCTCTATTTGCATTTTGATGTGTCTGGCTGAAGGATGCCCCCGTAACACTTATTATTGCCCATTCCTTGTACAGAGCAAAAACCCACCAACACACATAAAATAGCAAGTGCAAGCGAACACATTCAGCTTTTCAACACAACCAAGGGTCGTAAACTACGAGACATTGAGCTCTTTTGAATACATGTGGCCGGAGAAAACACACACAAGTACAAACTTTGGAAAAACTCACACAAAATGCAGACCACAGGCATAAACAATTCATCACAAAACATTCTGACACACCTAATGCTTATGCACACACATCTTCCTCTAAACCAATTGTACACAGTTACATTTTTTTTTTATTTTGTCCACTTCATGGCTCTCAACATGATGGGTTAGGCAGTGTCTTGCAGCTAACAGGATCGCCAGCGCAAATAAGGGTGTTCACCGAGCTAACAGATTTAGCTTGGGAGGGGGAACCTTCAGCAATGCCATCCGTTGGCAAGCTTAATTAGCTGTAACTGCCAGTGCAGGGCGGGAGCAATGGGTTAGCTAGTCAGCCAGGTTTAAATTGCAACATCCAGCCCAGGACAGCCCAGTTGGTTGAGTGACTGTCCTGTAAAGGCTTTACATCAGGGGTCCCCAAACTACGGCCCGCGGGCCGCATACGGCCTCCACATTTGACCCGGCCCCCTGAACAATACAGAGACGGAAAAAAGGCTAATGGTTATGGCCCTTTAAATGTTCTGTTGTTGTTGATGACGTAGAGCCCGTTGATAGGGAGATTACAGGGCTGCGCCATCTTGTTTTTTCATCCGTTGTGAAAAATAAACGAGACACACGCTTGTTCTCAACTTTCTCTGTGGAATGCAACTTCCACAATAATGGCAAAACGGTGTGGTAAGAGAAAAATTGATTCAGAATGCAGGGTATTTAACCCGCAGTGGACACATGATTACTTTTTTGTTCAGTTGAAAGAAAAGGCTGTTTGTCTCGTCTGTCAAGAGACGGTGGCGGTATTCAAAGAATACAACCTGCGCCGACATTATGAATCCCGTCACAAAGACAAGTATGCTAGCCTGCACGGCCAAATGCAGAAAAAATGTCTAAGCTAAAAACTGGACTGTTCGCTCAGCAAACTACATTTGTACGGCAAACTCAGCTGAACCAAGCATCAGTTCGGGCCAGCTTCCGTGTTGCTCAGCTGATAGCAAGCTGCGGTAAATCTTTCACTGAAGGAGAGTTTGTCAAGAAATGTTTGAATGTTGTCGTGGAGGAGGTCTGTCCCGAGAAGAAAGATGTCTTTAATGCCGTGAGTCTGTCGGCAAGTACAATTACCCGACGTGTTGAAGAAATTGGGGGTAATGTGTATGCCCAGCTGCAGCAGAAGACTAAAGATTTTCAGTTTTTTTTCATTAGCACTGGATGAGAGCACGGACGTGCAGGACACCGCGGAGCTTCTTATTTTTATTCGTGGAGTTAACGCAAACTTTGAGATGTGCGAGGAGCTGGCAGCCCTACAAAGCCTGAAAGGGACTACAACTGGGGAGGATATTTTCGACAAAGTATGTCAAACCATGCAACAGTTGGATCTGGACTGGGCAAAGCTTGCCAGCATCACGACTGACGGGGCCCCTAGTATGGTGGGCGCGTCTCGGGGTTTAATAGGACGCATGAACCGGGAGATGGAGGAACGGGGTCTCACCGCCCTGCTACAAGTACACTGCCTAATTCACCAGCAAGCGCTGTGCTGCAAAGTGTTGAAGTGGGATTCTGTCATGAAGGTTGTGGTATCGTGCATAAACTTCATCAGAGCTAATGGACTTAAACACAGGCAGTTCCAACAATTTCTGTCTGAACTGGAGTCTTCGTACGGAGATGTGCTGTACCACACAGAGATCCGATGGTAGTTCACCGATTCCGTGAACTACATGTTCATGCAAAAGAAATCCGTCTTTTTCAGAACCCTTTTGTTGCCGACATCGATGAAGCCCAGCCTTCGTATCAGTTTGAGCTGGCCGAGTTACAGAACTGTGATGTTCTGAAAGACGCATTCAAGCCCAACAGTCTCATTGACTTCTATGCCGCCCTCCCAAATGACACCTACCCTAACATAAAACAACACGCAATGAAGATGTCCACACTTTTTGGCAGCACGTATATCTGCAAGCAAACCTTTTCACGCATGAAACTCCTGAAAACTCCAACGAGATCAAGATTGACAGATGAACATTTGCATCAGTGTTTGAGACTGGCTGTGACTAGAATGGAACCGGACATTCAACTTCTCTCCAGCCAGATGCAGGCCCACAGTTCACACTGATGAACACATAGTACATAGGTAAGCTCACTTTTCTGACTTATATCAGTCATTCTGTGTATCAACAAATGTAATCATAATAAAATCTATTGGGATAAAAATCCATCTCCACAACCATACTGGTATTGAAATGCATTGTGCTGTATCACTTAGTTTGGTTTCTTAGCCTGCTTGCTTTGTGCTTTTCAGAGGGAAGTTGATGAGAGGGAGCCTACAGTGGTGTCTACTGGGCTAGCCTATGGAACCTACAAAGAACACAAGAACTTTGAGAGACATTTGAGATTCTGCTGTGACAAGTGAAGTTTACCTTTTATCTAGGATTGTGCATGGCACAGCATAACTTTCTTTCTGTGAAGAACCCAGAGAGGGTTATTTGATCTCAGAAAGGGTTATTAATATTTGGATATGTGTGGTGCGCTGGAGTGTCAGCATGTTTTCTGGAAAACAATAAATGATTACATTTAGGGACCCCTGCGAATGTCACACTTTTTCTGTTAGAAACTGACCCTGGCCCCCCATCAGAGAAGGGAAAAGTTATGTGGCCCTCACTGGAAAAAGTTTGGGGACCCCTGCTTTACATCTTGCCACCCCGGGTTGATTGCAATTACTCCTTAACGGCACAGTATTCTATATAAGATTATGTCAGAGCCGTGGAAAATGTACTAATGAAAAGTTCATAATGATCTTTTATCATGGTGGACGCATAAATTAAATGATCCATGAGAGTATGCAATGCTCAGCGCTATTAGGCTACTATAAAAAGGAGCAGGAAAAACTAATTAGGGTGTGCAAACAAACACAGGACTAAATCCGGAGGCTGGTCATTGTGTACCTAAATATTTACAAATTAAACATTTTAACTAAGTGGTTGTAGTGACTTGCCAATAACAAAACAGTACTGAATGAAGATTATGCCATATTAAAGATGTTAGAGAACTATTAATTAAGACCATCATCTCATGTTTACAATAATCATTGACAAAAAGAAAATCAAGTTGGAATTGAATTATATGGAATTATTATCGACTTTCTATACAACTAAACTTCTCTTCATAACCAGGGAAGTCTCCCTTTTCTATAGAGATTCTTTGTACGTCTGTCCTAAACTCATTTCGTTGACACAACTTTCTAAGTCACCAAAATTGCTAATTCATGTTCTGTTGACCCATAATAAAGTCATAAAAGACCCAAACTTCATGAAACGTCATGAATGAAGTACACATTAATGTTTTTTGTGACAAAGAAGTATCTGTTCCAATCACTCTATCAGAGAAAAATCAGAGTTGTAGAAATAACGGTAAACTCAAGAGAGCCATGATATTATGTTCTTTACAAGTGTATGTAAACTTTTGACCACAACTGTATATTGATTAATCTTCCATCCAGCCAATTGGCCACAAGGGGATACCGAGAGGGCTCTGTCCTCAGTGCTAGCTGTTTAGCCGACTGTACACCACAAAGTTTCATAGATGGAAGAAAACAAGTAAACATAAGATGTCATGTTTTCCTCTTTTCTCTCTGTATTGTATTTTTATTGTATCTACCTTTCTCCCCTACCATCGCCCAGGCTGGTCAGTTGAGTACAGTTCAAAACTGTCCCTTAGGCTCTGCCCTTTTAGGGATTCGAATGCACCAGAGAGTGTTGAAGCACCTGCAGCCTCTATGGAGACACAATAGCTGTTCCTATGCAGAGTCTAAGTCGCAAAGTGCTTTATTATATAATCAAGGAAGTCACCAGACACACTGAGTCATTTCAAAAAGCATTCCAACTCCAAGAATTCCACCTCAAGAACTTAGCTTGAAACCCGTCAGCAATCCCACCTCCAGTAATAGTTGAACCAGTAGAAACAAAAGCCGCAAATAACCCATACAGCAAGGGCGTCAAAGTCATTTTAGGTAAGGGCCACATGCTGCCCAATTTCATCTCAAATGGGCCAGACCAGTCTATGCTGCATACCGTGAGCGCGAAAAAACGAACGAGCCTCTTATTACATTACATTACATGTCATTTAGCAGACGCTTTTATCCAAAGCGACTTACATTATACTTTAAACCCATGGCTTTTTTCACATTTTTGCCTGGGGAGCAATTAGGGGTTAGGTGTCTTGCTCAGGGACACTTCGACATGGAACATGGGGCAGCCTGGAATCGAACCACCAACCTTGTGCTTCCCAGCACACCTTCTCTTACCCCTGCGCCACGACGACCCCTCTTATCTGTCAGAAGCAAGGGAACCGTCACAACTAAGTTACTGGTATGACTTGCGCTGATTGGAGACAGCCAGTGTTGCTTTTGAATGAAATTAAACGTGTACCTTAGTAAGCAAGGATCGCTAGTTAGCATTAGATTTATGTTAGCTCTCGTGGTCGACCGTGCATGCGTGGTAACCTGATCCAATTGGCGGGCGATCTAACGGCACTGCCTTGGTGATCAACCTGGCCCCCCTGGTCCCCCTGGTCTAACGCATGCGCTCACTCACGGAGTGCGAGCCAAGTGGACGGACTAGGAATAGCACCCACTGTTATATAAATGCACTTTATGTCTCTTAAATTCTCCCATTAGCAAAGCCATCCGGTGGGCCGAACTGGATCTGCCGGCGGGCTGAATTCTGACCCTTATGCCATACAGCATGGCTAAGCCTGGAGGTGGATGGATGGAGCTGTAGTTAGTCTGCTTCAGGGGAAGATGGTTTAAGTCAACCTAAGGAGCTTTGTTGTCTAAACCTCAATAAGTTGTTTGCCACTCTGATCATTGAATAAGCCCACAGGCAATGCAGGGAGTGTCAGTCTTGTAGTGATCTGCCATGCGTATGAAAGGAGGTGATTAAGTAATGTACTACACACACCCCTGCCACGTCACAGGCACACACTCACCTGTGAACCAATCCGCTCCCTTCACTTGTCTGAATGGGTGACTGTTACGGCCCTGTGTTCCACAGCAGGGCCTTGTATGTGTGTATGTGCATTTGTGTTTGTTAAGGTTGCTTGTGTGTGTGTGTGCATCTCCCTTCTCTCAAATTGACAGGAGTTACCAGCCCCCGCCCCCCCCCTGATTGGCTGAGGACCTCAGGATCGTTAGTGGCTGCACCTGGTTGGAGCTCAAAAGGCCACAGTCCTCAGGCCCCTGGGGGGCCACATGGGTGATACTGGATGGTCAGACCTTTGTTTTGCATTTTGGGGTGGATTAACTGTTCTGTCGGTGTTTTAGTTGTTGATAGCTGTTTTCATTATTAGTACATCCGTTTTGTTTTCTAACAACCGTGTTCTTCTTTTCCCTTTTTGTCCCAGGGGAAAGGGAGCCGTTGTGGCTAGACTAGAGGCCCATGGGCATACATCACCCACAGTGAGTCTCTCTCTAGGAACACTAGCTAGACCTGGGCAGACCACCACCTGTATTTTTGGTTAGCGTGCCAAAGCTACGGCACTATATATAGGAACTAGCCTGTGTATTTTTGTTTGTTTCATTGCTTTGGTTCTGCCCAGCCCTTCCCCTGCAATCCGTGTGATTAGAATAAATAAAGTAATCTATACACGGTAAAACTCTTGCGTCCTCCTTGCACCACGACCCCCACATGCCCCTTGTAGTGATACACTTGGGTCTTGAGCAGCGGCGTGTCAACGGTCCCCTCCCTTCTAGGGAGCTGGTGCGTAACAGTGACAAAAGCAGAAATGCAGGGGAGAGCAAAGGGTCAACAGATCGGATCGTACGGTCGGGTGCTGAGTATCAGGAGGCCACAAGGCAGGAGATCCTGCAGCGTACAGAGCGGCGTCGGTAAAAGTAAGGCCCAGACGGCGTTACTGAACAGGACGCCCATGACGTTTTGACTACAGTAAAGCCGTGAGACTCTTTTTGTGCTGGACTAGGATTTTGTTCCTTTCCTTCTGTGTCCTGACGCAAAACTTACTTTAAACATTATGATTTGGTGTATTGACTGAGGGAAAGGGAAAATATGGACCCAGGTTGGGATTGAATGACTGTCATTGAACCGTTGTGTATTATTGTCTTCCCATTTCATTGTTAATATACAAGCATTTACCTTGAGAAGTATCTGAGATGGCGTTTAATTGTATGGTGGCATCCTTCAAGTTCTACAGTAGGAAATGTACCTGAGAGGTTTCAAGCGATGAGACGTGTGTGTGTGTTATTGCATCCTGTCCTTGAGCCCTATGTGCGGTTGACTATGCGAGGACATTGACTCACAAAACCTGACATTAATATTTTGGTGGCCGCAGACCTGACACCCCAATCAACCAGTAACTACTAAATAATTAACATATTGATTATGTTCGGATCCAGCAAGACAAACAGAAATGTATCACTTTGTGTTTTAACAGTAAGTTTGAGATTCTGTTTTGATCTTTGGAGGTGTTTGGAAGTAGATCCTTTCACTTCAAGGAATAACTTCCAAAATAAGTATATATAAACATCACAGACAATTTCCAGTGGCAATGTAACATGACTGAATGAAAAACAGCGACTTTTGACTTTCCTTCCACTTACTTGAAGTTCTACTTAAGTCTTTTTTTTAGCATGCTATTTTCAAACTACCTGCGTCATTTAATTTGATACAATAATACATGTAACACAAAGAGGAGAAAAGAGAAAATGTCACCAAAGACTTGTGGCCAAAAAGTCAGAAAGAAAAATTACTTTCTCTGCTCTGCTGTTTCTAAGGTAACTCTTTTAAGATTCTTAGTTTGCCTCCCACCTCACTCTGGAGCCTCTGGAAAAGCATCCATAAATGTAGTTAACACAATGTTTACCACCCAGACAGGATTTCTGGGAGATAGGTTTAAAAAGTGGTAGTCTTTTTCCATTTTCATTAACAGTCTAAAGAGACCCAGATTAGAGTCGTCGTGGTGCAGGGGTAGAGAGGGTGCGCCGGGAACCGCAAGGTCGGTGGTTCGATTCCTGTCTGTTCCATGTCCCATGTCGAAGTGTCCCTGAGCAAGACACCTAACCCCTCATTGCTCCCCGGGCTAAAAAAAATGTAAAAAGCCATAGGTTAAAAATGCAATATAAGTTGCTTCAGATCACGGTGTCAGCTAAATTACCTATAATAATAATAATAATAATAATAATAATAATAACAACAACAACAAGACCTAAAGACTGATTCAACATAAAACTTTCAATTGTGACATTCTCTGCCATCATTCTACTCATGTCGTATGTGTGCGCATTTGTTTATTCAACAAATATATAATGTTTATGTGTTAACTTTGCTTAAGTGACTGTTAGCTATTTGCAAATAATCTTATCAAGTCTTTGATTCCTTAAAATGTGGATCTTTTTAACACACATTTAAAGTGTGACCCATTCACTTTACACAAAACTGGAGTACTCTGCCATTCCAAATAACTACTGAGTGTCCATCTATTTAATCTGTCCTCACCTCTGATGCAATATCTTTTAAACTATTCTTTTTGTTCTTTATCTATCTTTAACAGATTTTATTTTTTGTTTTA